CCATAATTGCTTGCTCCTTAAGCTGAACTCCTTTAAAGGTTGCCATAGTCAAAAACCTTTTAGGCTTGAAAACATTTGGTGCACCCACCCCGACTTCACTAGATTAGTTCATTCTCACTGGGCCAATAATAATTTTAAATCGGCCTCACACGAATTTGTTATCAATATTACAAACTGGAGTAAGTCTACCTTTGGGGATATCTTCAAGAAAAAGAAGGAAATATTAGCAAGACTTAAGGGCATCCAGTGCTCCCCCCACTATGCTACTATTAGGTTTTTACAAGAGCTTGAACTTCGTTATAAAAAGATTATAATACATTCCTCAAATTAGAAGAGGACTACTGGAAGCTTAGATCAAGAGTCAATTGGCTCAATAATGGCGACGCCAATATGAAATTCTTCCATATTAGTGCCACTAATAGAAGAAGGAGAAATAACATAAGCTACTTTAAAGACAATTCCGGAAACTAGATTGATAATCCTAATGAAATTCTGAGCCATCTCCAAAATTATTTTGAGGAAGCCTTTACTACGTCCCACCATCTCTCAACAAAGTATAACCTACCAAAGAATTTAGATCACGTAGATCTTTCCAGTATAAATAGAACAATGTGTAATAGTGAAATTCAAAAGGCCTTATTCTCGTTTAAACCTTATAAAGCCTCGGGACAGGATGGTTTCCACCCTTTTTTCTACCAAAATTATTGGAAAATAGTTGGCCCCAGTGTTACTACCTACTGCCAAGAAATCTTTGCTACTCAGCACATCCCATTGGAAAATAATAGCACTTACATCTGTCTCATTCCTAAAATACCCATTGCAAACGACCTAAAATTTTTTAGGCCTATCAGTCTCTATAATACAATTTACAAAGTGATTACCAAAATCATCACTAATAGACTAAAACCCTTCTTGGATAAAATCATTAGTCCTTTTCAAGCTAGCTTCCTAAAAAATAGAAGTGCTAGCGATAATGCTATTTTAATCCAAGAAATTATGAACCATTTTAGAAAAAGTAGTAGTAAGAAAGGCAAAATGATTCTTAAGCTTGACTTAGAAAAAGCCTTTGATAAGCTTGAGTGGTCCTTTATCCATAAAACGTTGATTTACTTTAAATTCCCCCCCAAAAATAACTACTGTTATCATGTCTTGCATTACTACTAGCACTATGTCCGTGCTAGTTAATGGTACAACCACAAGATGTTTCACCCCAAGTCGTGGTATTAGGCAAGGCGACCCTATGTCACCATACATATTCATTCTATGTATAAAATGTTCACTAGATATATAAATCACCAAGTAGACATTAAAATGTGGGACCCTATTAGGCTATCAATGAATGGTTTAAGCCTTTCTCATCTCTTCTTCGCAGACGACCTAACCCTAATGGGTCACATTAATAGTAAGACTTGCAACTCTATCCTCTATGGTATTAATCAATTTTGCAACATGTCAGGACAATCCATAAACCTTGTTAAATCTAAAATTATTTTTTCAAAAAGTTGTCCTAATAGTTGCATCACTGATATCTCCCAATTTTTTGGTATTAAAAAATGTGATTCTTTTGGAAAATACCTTGGCTTCCCAATATACAACTCCAGCCCTAAAGCTAAGGATTTCCAATATGTTCTTGATGCAATGAGAGCTAGATTAGCCATGTGGAAATCGAGCTGCTTAAATATCACTGGTAGAACTACTCTTGCATGCTCTACTCTAGCAAGTATCCCTAGCCACGTGATGCAATATACCCTTCTCCCCGTTAAAATCCTTAAATCAATTGACAAAATTCAAAGAGATTTCATCTGGGGTACAACGGATTCCAAAAAGAAACTTCATCTTATTAGCTGGGAAACAATTACTACTAATAAGGATAAAAGGGGGCTTGGGATTACGCAAAGCAAAATCCAAGAATTTAGCCTTACTTACTAGTATAGCTTGGAGGTTTCTTAACTCTCCTTCTGCCCCTTGGGCCAACATCCTTACCCGGAAATTTATTAACAATAACAGAAAATCGAAGCATTCCTATACATGGAATAGCCTTCTTAAGGGTTGGCACATCTGTAACAAAGGGAGCCTATGGTCAATCCATAGTAACTCCTCACTCTCCATTTGGAGCGCTAAATGGATCCCAAACACCCCCCTCCTAAGAAACTGTATAGAAAGCCCCGTAAATATTAAGGATCACGATTTGAAAATCAGTGGTCCTTCGATAAGCTATCCTTCATCCTCCCCGCTAAAGTCTCTAATAACAATGCCAACATCTGTATACTCACTGAACGCTATTATGATCACCTTATCCGGGAACCCAATTCTGATGGCTCCTTCTCCACGACTTCATGCTACTCCCTAATTGAGAATCCTGTACCATCTCCTTGTAATAACTCTAACAATTTCAAATGGGTATGGGAGGCTCACTGCCCAAATAAAATTAAATTCTTCCTTTGGAAATGTTGCCACAATAGACTCCCCACACGCTCCTTCCTTCATCATATTGGAATGAATTTAGACAAAACATGCACTGTGTGTAGGTCAGGGGATGAATCCCTCCCCCATATCTTCCTACACTGCGAGGTAGCCATGCATCTATGGACATCCCTTAATGTTGATATGACTCTCTAGACTGTGAAAATATCAATTGGCTATACGCCATCCAAAATAGTAACCCTTTGGTTCCATCCAACATCATCAACTGGAACCTATTGTTCCCTTTCTTACTCTGGAACATTTGGCTAAATAGAAACCGTAATCTGGAAAACAATACTACTAATCTCATATCCTTACCACGTATCATCAATCAAGTTAGTGAATTTCACTACCTAACAGAAAGGGAAAGTAACCAGGATCTTAGACTCAGCTGCAGCACAAATTGGAGGAAGCCTCCAATAGGTTGGTACAAACTAAATCTTGATGGTGCTCATAATAAAGTTACAAGCGGAATAGGTGGAGTGGTGCGCGATCATTATGGCCAATGGATACTAGGCTTCAACATGAGAGTTCACATAGCTTCATGCATCCATGCAGAACTATTGGCTTTCGAGCAAAGTATGAAGTTCGCATTAGAAAGAAACCTACTTCCTCTGGAAATTGAATCCGACTCATTACAGGTATTACAATTCCTGGAAAATAGTAAAACTATTTTTGACTCTATTGTTCATAACTGCAGGTGGCTACTGGCAGGGAAGGAGAAGGTCATAGTGGTCCGGCATAGCTTCAGAGAAGGGAACAAAGTAGCAGACCGTCTGGCTAAGGAAGCTACCAGGCAGACTCTTATAAATAAGTTAGTTTATTTTGATAGACCTCCCACATATGTCATGGCCAGGATGCTGGAGGACAGAGATAGAGGCAGTAGTAGGAAACTAGTGCTTAGAAGCACCTGTAGAACCCTAGCATCTTTTGGTAATCTAAATGCTATAGATGGCATTAATGCTTTGTGTAATGATCCAGTGGATCAATGTACTAATGCTCCTTAGCTTGTTTTAAATAAAATTCTCCTCTGTTAAAAAAAAGGAAATTAATGTATCGATCAACTAGGCGTTTGGACATAAAAATTTATAGTTTTTGAAAAAGTAGTATTTGGAGTTAAGTTGAAAAATACTATTTCGAATTTGAAATGATATTTGGATATGCATTTCACTTAAAAAAATATTGCAGTTTTGTGAGTGAGGAAAAAATCTTAAAAAATTTTGAAATTGGTTTTTGAAAAACTCATTTTTGAAAATTTCCAAAAACTTACAACAAACACATTTTTGAACACTTTCTTTTTTTAAAAAAAGAAACTTTTTATGGACAAACGGGCCCGAATATGACTAAAATAGCGGAGAATTGATTTTGTAATCTATTATATATGCTATTGTATTTATATGCTTTTTTAGATCAGTAAAAAAAATAACACATGAGATCATTATATGAGCATTTTTTATTATTCAAATTGTAAGTATGCAGAGAAGAGCATTCTCTCAGAAAAGACGATAGATTGGCCGTTTAGTTTTTAAAAAGTTTTTCTCTTTTTGTGGGTAGTTGTCTAACTGTGAATGTGTTAGCTTATGGAGATAACGACTTTAACGAAAATTTGTTTAGCGTGTGTTTTCTTTTAACACGCTACACAATAATAAAATAGTCATATTTTAATTTAAGAATATTATAATGCTGGGAAATGGGAACATACTTTCAACACATTAGTGGCAAAAATAAAGGGTAGGGGAGACTGAAGCCCTCAAATCCAATTTTAGAAATAAATTTTTCAGTGTTAATTTTAAATAATCGTACTAACTTATGTAAAGGATGTGTCCACACATGGAGTGTCTTAGCTCACGTCTGTTTTAACTAAATTGTAGTTAGTTCACCTTGTAACTGTAGTTAGCGTATTATTCTGTTAATTGTACAGCTGTCCATGAGTTGGCATTACTTAGTTGGTTAGAGTAAAAGTTAGTTATATAGAATTGTACAGTGTAATTCCGATACAACTGAAGATGAAGATTTCATTCTTTGCTTTCTCTTCTCGAAATGCTTCTTCTCTTCTCCAAATGATATTTGTTTCAGCTCATTGTGAGAATTTAACATGGTATCAGAGCAACTGATCGAGTAATTCTAGGAAATTTTTGAGCAATTGAAGAAAATTCGAGAGAATTCACTCAGTTTTGTTTTCTAGAACCCTAATTTTGTGCAATTGCAATTTTTTGGTACTTTGATTTGCCGTAATTCATGGCTATTTCTGATGAATCAAGCAGTACTGTGAACAACAGAGCTACTACGGTCGGGGATCTATAATTCTCGATCACAATCACTCGCTATATCTACATCTTTCTGATGGACCTGGATCTTTGTCTGTAGGACTTGTGCTAACTAGAATGGAGAACTACACTCTCTAGAGTCGTGCGATGAAGGTTGCTTTGTTAGGAAAAAAAATGTGTCTAGTCGACGGATCGACTTCAAAGGAGGACTTTGGATCTGAGTTAACACACCAATGTAATCGATGCAATGTGATTGTAACCTCATGGTTAATGAGCAATGTTAACAAGGATCTGATAACTGGAGTACTTTTCTCGTCTAATGCTCGTACAGTGTGGTTTGCGTTCAAGGAACGCTTTGATAATGTCGATGGATTGAGGCTATACTATCTGCACAAGGAGATTTTCACAATGACTCAAGGAATTTCTTATGTTTCTACATATTTTACCAAGCTCAGAGACCTATGGGCAGAGTATGATTCCATCTTGCCTCCACCTCCAGCTGCAGAGTATGTTGAACAGTTGGAATATCAATGTCTATTACAATTTCTCATGGGATTAAACGATAGCCTTGAACAAGCTAGAAGCCAAATCCTCTTAATGCCTACCTTGCCGTCTATCAACAAAGCCTATGCTATGGTAGTTCAAGATGAAAGCAGGCGCATGATCACTGGTAGCAGTTATGGAAATGCGGGAAACATTGAGCCTACTGCTCTGTTTACTACACAATCAGGAAAAAAAGAAGGAATTATAGTTTGGAATGTGACCTTTGTCACCTAAAAGAGCATACTAGAAAAGACTGCTATAAACTAATAAAATTTTATTTTTGTAAAACAAAAACAGGACACCTAAAGAAGAGTTGCAACAAGATTGTGGGTTATCCTCCAGATTTCAAGCTAAAGAGAAAAGTGAATGTAGTTTTGCTAGAAGGATCAGGGCAACAGTCTCAGACCCCACCAATGCCTAATCAACAAATGAGTAATGCAGCTGTTCCAACCTAGTTCTTCACAAAAGATCAGTACAATCAACTTATACAACTGTTAAACAAGAACTCTGTTGGAGATGTCAGTGCTCACATGGCAAGTAAATGCTTCCGTGGCAATGTAAAGTTCTGTGAGAATATGGTACTTTGTAAATGGATTGTACATACTGTGCTACGAACCATATGACTGATACTAAAGGCTTATTACATTATAAACTATCAGTAGGAAGCACAGGACATGTTCGATTACCTACTGGAGATTCAGCCACTATTTCACATATGGGGGAATGTCAGCTCACGGGAGGTGGTACACTTAAAGATGTTCTTTGTGTTCTAGCTTTCAAGTTCAATCTTTTGCCAGTGTCTAAGATGACAAAGGACTTGAAATGTTGTGTCACATTCTTTCCACAATGCTGTGTATTTCAGGACCTCTTGTCTGGGAAGGTGAAGGAGATTCGTATATAGGACACAAAGTGAATCGAGCCTTTGCAGCAACTCATGGGACAGGTGTAGACTTATGGCATAAACGAACAGGACATGTCCCAATGTAGGTTCTTAGGAAAATTCCTAACTTACTGAATGACACCAGTTTCTCTTGTAACAATCGGTTGAATAAGTGTGAAATATGTCCACTAGCAAGGCAAACTAGAATACCATTTCTACTTAGTAAGAGTAGAAGCTTATCTAGTTTTGACTTGGTACACATAGATGTTTGGGGTCCTTATAAAGTTACTACTCATAATGGAATGAGATTTTTCCTTACCTTGGTGAATGATTGCACTAGATGGACTTGGGTGTTTCTTATGAGACTAAAGTTTGATGTGGTCTTCTTACTCAAAACTTTTATTACTTTGGTCAAGACACAATAAGGTAAGCAAATTAAGGTGTTTAGATCAGATAATAGAGGGGAGTTTTTTAATGACATCGTGCATCAAAGTTCTTGCCCATACATCCCTCAGTAAAATGGGTTGGTTGAAAGAAGACATAGGCATATACTTGAGACTGCCAGAGCTATCAGATTCCATGGACACTTGCATGTTAGGTACTGTGGCCATTGTATTGACACAACAGTTTACATCATCAACATGATTTCCTCCTCAATTCTTGCAGGCAAATCCACTTATGAAATGCTACATGGAAAACAACCATCTATTTCACACTTGAGAGTGGTAGGATGCCTGTGCTTTGCAACAAACATAATCAAGCATGATAATTTTGAGCCAAGGGTTTTGAGGTCTGTTCTATTGGGGTATGTAGCACACCAGAAGGGTTACAGGCTGTTAGACCTGGAGCACAGAGTTTTCTTCATTAGTAGAGATGTAGTCTTTTATGAGGTTGTGTTTCCTTTCCAATCACTGGACCTTAGTTCAACAGACTTTTTTCTGGACTCTGCTCATGTTCCTGAATAGGATTTTATCACAAATTCAGCTCCAATTGCAACACAGGTTCCACACAAGGAACTTTGTACACAATCAGCACCATGCTCTTCCAATATACCCAAGACTTCCCACTCCACAAATACTGTACCTACTACAATTCCTAATGGTGCTTCTATACATGTTGATTCCACTCTTGCTAATATTCCAGCATTAGGTTGTTATCCAAACACATATGGTCAGGAGATTAGGAAATCAGGGAGAGTGTCTAAACCTCCCATATGGATGCGGGATTATGTTCAGCCTACCAAGGGGAAGTCTGCTGGCTGCTGCAAATACCCTCTTTCCGAGGTACTCACCGATGATCACATTGCACCTAAATATCAAAGCTATCTGTGTAGAACTAATGACTTACCAAGAGGCAATTAAAGATAAGAGGTGGGTAGAAGCTGTGCATTATGAAATCAAGGCCTTAGAAGACAATAACACATGGGATCTTGTTCCTCTATCTAAGGGAAAGAAGACTATTAAATATAAATGTGTCTATAAGATCAAATACAAGGCTTCTGGTGAAGTTGAAAGGTTCAAAGCCACATGTGTGGCAAAAGGGTACAATCAGAAAGAAGGCTTAGACTACCAAGAGACATTCTCACATGTGGTAAAATGGTGACCGTCTGGAGTGTGCTTTTCATAGCAGCTTCAAAACATTGGAACATCCATCAAATGGATGTGCACAATACAATTTTGCAAGGTGATCTCTTTGAGGAGGTGTATATGAAGTTCCACAGGGGTTCAATGATTCCACCGATACGTCCTTAGTATGCAAACTACTTAAGTCACTCTATGGACTTAAGCTGGTTTCTAGTGGGACATCAAATTGTCCACAACATTGCTGAATTCTAGTTTTACACAGAGCCACATAGACTATTCCTTGTTCATCAAGCGAGTGGCAGGAAATTTGGTGGTGGTTTTAATCTATATTGATACCTATTGATCACAGATGATGATATACTGTTGATACAATAGACCAAGACCAAGGATGATCTACAGTCCAGTTTTAAAGTCAAAGACCTTGGTGAGCTTAAATTTTCTTGGGCATTGACTTTGCTAGGAGTGACAAGGGGATCTTCATGCACCAATGAAAGTATGCCTTGGAGTTGATCTTTGGTCTTGGGTTAGCAGGGTCCAAACCTGTCCATTCCCCTATGGAGCAGAACCTCAAATTAAATACCACTAAATTTGATGATCATATAGCTTCTACTCGTGATTCTATACTCTCTAATCCTGGCCCCTATTAGAGCTTGTTGGGAAAATTGCTCTACTTAACTATTACTCGTCTTGACATTTCAGTTGCAGTGTAGTGCTTAAATCTATTCATGCATAAACCCAAGACTTCCTATATGGAGGCTGCTATGAGGGTCATGAGATACGTTAAGTCTAGTCTTGGTCTGGGTATTTATTGAGTGCTACCTGCTCAGATTCTCTCTCAGCTTTTTGTTATGCTGATTGGGCTGCTTTCCCCAACACACACAGGTCTGCCACAAGGTATTTTGTCAAGTTTGGTAGCTCCTTGATTTCTTGGAAGTCCAAGAAGCAGTCAACTATTTCTCGCAGCCCAGTAGAGGTTGAGTATAAGAGTTTGGCCTCTACAATAGCTTAGGTGATTTGGATTCTTAGTCTGTTCAAGGAGTTGGATATCCCTCAACCTTCTTCTGTTCCTATCTATTGTGATAGCAAATCAGCTATTCAAATTGTTGTGAACCTAGTGTTTCATGATCGCACGTAACATATTGATATTGCCTGCCATTTTATTCGAGAAAAAGGTTCAATAGGGACTGATTAGTACCATCTATGTACCTATTGCAGAATAGGAAGCTGATTTGCTAACCAAGGGACTTGGGCGATCTCAACATGATTATTTAGTGTCCAAGCTAGGACTGAAGAACATCTTCAGTAGTCCTAGCTTGAGGGAGGGGGGGGGGGTGTAAAGTATGTGTCTACGCATGCAATGCCTTACCTCACGTGTGTTTTAACTTAACTATAGTTAGTTCACCTTGTAACTGTAGTTAGCATAGTAGTCTGTTAATTGTACAACTGACCATGAGTTGGCACTAGTTATTTGGTTAGAGTAAAAATTAGTTATATAGAGTTGTACAGTGTAACTCCGATATAATTGAAGATGAATATTTCATTCTCTGATTTCTCTTCTCGAAATGCTTCTTCTCTTCTCCAAATCTGATATTTGTTTCAGCTCAATCGTGAGAATTTAACAACTTGTTAGTATTTTATAGTGAACTTCCGCATTCCCCCCCTTCCCCCCCCCCCAAAAAAAAAAAAATACTTACCATAGATCTCCTCCTCTTTTCTCTCTTCACATTCTAATTCTCAAAATGGTGAAATATTTCAATGCTAAAATAAGATTTTATGACTTTTGAGGGTGTGTTTACATTTCTTAGACAAATTAGCAAAAGACTACTTTTTTTTAATTTCCCTTTTATTTGTTGTGGACAGAAAATTCACTTTAGTCAACATCAGCATGATGTCAGAAGTCATACCCTCACACGGTCATTTCAACAAACTACACACTAAAAAGAACAATAAAAAGAGAAGAAAAAAAATTATAATAATCAAATCGTGGGTCCAACTTTAATATCAAAATCTGAAAGCTTATTGGTGGAATAGATTTTTCTCATATCCTGAACCTACCAGTTGGACGTCTGCGCCAGTAAAACTAACAAGAACTCACTTGTTCTTGTTAGTTGTTGGTAGGTAAGTTCTATCTAAATTATAGCCAGATTGTACCCTCATTTTTTAATTTAACCATATGATATCCAAAATTCAATGTCCCAACTAACTCAATTGTGTGTATCCTCATTATTCAAATTGTACCCTCATTTTGCCCATGTAACATGTGCGTAAGCAGATGAAACATTGCGATATGATCCAGAATAATTGCATAATAATTGAGTAATTCTTTTAGTTGTTAATTCCAATATTAGTTGTAAATTCCAGCTGTCAAGTTAGTTAGAAGTTAGTTGCCACATGTGAGCTTCACCGAGTTAGTTATAACTAACTTTCTCTCCCCTTTTCTGTTAAGCCCTCAGTAGATATAAGGCAGTAATTGGCATTGTAATAGTTTTGTGATTTGATTTTTCATCAACAATACCAGCTCTCCTTCTCTCTCTAAACACAGAACTCAATTCGAGTATTACAGAAGTCTGTTCAAGAGCAATTATGCAACCTTACTCTTTAGGATTTCTTATTTCTTTTCTCAATTTCCTTTAGTTGCTATCATTGGTATCAACACACGATCCTTGGATATATGGGAAGCAAAAATGGGGGAGCACAACACTAGAATACAAGAGTTTCGAAGAGATCATGATGGTCTTCGAGGATCTTTTGAAGGTATCACTGGAACCATGGAAGAATTACAGAGGAACATGGATGAGAAGCTTGCGAAGTCGATGGAGGAGTTTAAGAGAATCCTCTTGACCACTATGGAGAATCAAAGACCACAAGTGAATCCCAGAACAGAGGAGGAAAATACAACTGCAGCTGCTAGAGGTCGACGCCAAGAAGAGTATCAGTTGCCTACGAGGAGGAATCAACTGGAATTTCCAAAGTTCGATGGCACTGGTTTACGCGATTGGTTGTATTAGTGTGAGCAGTTCTTTGAAGTAGATGAAACCCAGAAGCATCTAAGGTGAAATTTGCTTCGTGCAGACTGGGAGGCAAAGCCCTTCAATGGCATCAAGTTTTTATGAAAACCAGATTGTTGAGGGAGTGGCCTAGCTGGGGAGAATATGTGAGATGTTTGTACGCAAGGTTTGGTTCAGAGTTATTCGATGACCCAATGGGAGATTTGAAAGACCTCAAGCAGGTAAACTCTGTACAAGATTATGTGGATATGTTTGATGAATTATTAACTAAAGTAGAATTAAATGAAGAATATGTTGTTAGTTGCTTTTTGAGAGGTCTGAAACCTGAGATAGGGTTGCCTGTAAAGATGTTTGCTCCTCGATCCTTACAGAAGGCAATTAGTTTAGCTAAAATCCAAGAACAAACACTAATAATCCGAAAAAATGCTTCAAAAAGTACACCAATTCTTTCTAATCCCAGACCAACCCAGAGATATCTCCCTGCTAACACCAACTATTACAACAATCAGCCTTTTCTAAGCCAAACCTATCTATCCAAAAAGCTCAGAGTTCTTTTACTGGAGCTGTTAAACCAATTTACAAAAATCCAAAGATTCTAAGTCCCGGTGAAATGGAGGATAAGAGGTCTAGAGGGTTATGTTTCTATTGTGATGAAAAGTATGTCCCTGGACACGTGTGTTAAAAAAGGAGGCAGTTGTTTTCTATTGAGGTGGAGGAACCAGAAGGGGTAAGAGATGACGGTGAAGAGGGAGATGTAATGCTTGATCCCTCTGAATTCCTGTGTATGGAAGGGGTAGAATTTGAGGTTGACAATGAAGGAGCCATCTTACCTCATGTTTCAGTTCATGCTATGACTGGTGCTCAAGATTTTAGAACAATGTTCAGAACTATGAGGGTTACAGGTTCACTGAAGGGGAAGGCTATCAAGATCCTGATTGACACAGGTAGCACTCACAACTTTATGGACCTCAACACTGCAAAGAGATCGGGATGCCACTTAACTAGGATCCATCCTTTTGCTGTGTCAGTAGCTGATGGCAACATAATGCACAACAACTTTATCTGCAAAGGATTCCTCTGGAAAATGGAAGGGGCTCAGTTTATGTCTGATATGCTGACCTTACCTTGGGTGGCTGCAATATGGTTTTAGGAGTGCAATGGTTGATCACACTGGGAGATATTCTATGGAATTTCAGGAAGCTAAAAATGGAGTTTACATATAGGGGGCAAAAGGTCTCATTGAAAGGGATACAACCTCCTGCTATGAAGCTGGTAGAACAGGGAAAGATGGATAAACTCTTAGCTAAACTTGCTGAATTGTCCATGATGATAGTAGGATTGTTTGCCACCAGTCCTGAACCTGGGGCTAGTTTCTGGAAATTGCAAGCTCATATAGAAATAGTGAAGGACAAGTCAAGATTGCAGGAGGTATTGCAGAAGTATAGTGACTTGTTTGATGTTCCTAAAGGCCTTCCACCACCTAGGCAACATGATCACAGGATTGTATTGAAGGAAGGCACCTCCCCTATCAACATTAGACCCTACAGTTACCCTACTATACAGAAGGAGGAGATTAAGAAGATGATTGAAGAGTTGAAGACTGCTGGGTTGATAAGGAATAGTACAAGCCATTATTCCTCCCCTATTGTTATGGTGAAGAAAAAGGATGGGAGCTGGAGAATGTGTGTTGGTTATAGGGAGCTTAACAACCACACAGTCAAAGACAAATTCCCTATACCAGTAATTGAAGAACTATTAGATGAACTCTATGGTGCCAAATTTTTCTCTAAGCTGGATTTAAGGTCAGACTACCATCAAATCAGGATGTGGGAACCTGACATTCCAAAAACTGCCTTGAGAACCCACCATGGCCATTTTGAATTCTTGGTAATGCCTTTTGACTTAACCAATGCCCCATCCACTTTCAGAGCTTGATGAACCAGATCTTCCTCCCTTATCTGAGGAAGTTTATTTTGGTTCTCTTTGAGGATATACTGGTGTACAACTCTTCTTGGGATGATCACTTGATACACTTGGAGAAAACCTTTGAGATCTTGAGAACTAATACACTCTTTGTTAAGCAAAACAAATGTGCAAAAGTGGAGGCCTAATCTATTGGGCAGGCATTTCATCATCAAGACTGATCATCATAGCCTAAAGTATTTGTTGGAGCAGAGGATAACAACACCTAGCCAACAAAAGTGGCTAGTCAAATTACTCGGATATGACTATACTATTTCCTATAAGAAGGGGAAAGACAACATTGTTGCAGATGCTTTATCAAGTAAAGAGGAACCAACTCAACTTTGCAGTATCTCTGGAGTTCAGGTGGAACCGTTAGAAGAAGTTAAACAATCCTGGTTACAAGATCCTATTCTACAAGTGCTTCTATAGAAATTGCAAAACTCTGCACCAACCAAACCATACTGCAAATACTAGGCTGGAATTCTGAGTAGAAAAGGAAGAATTATGGTGGGCTACAATGAAGAGTTGAGAAGAAAGCCGGTAGCTTATTATCACAACAGTTCTATAGGAGGGAATTCTGGCATTTCTGCTACTTTAAACAGGCTCAAGCAGGATTTTTATTGGAGGAAAATGAAGCAAACAGTCTACACTTTTGTAAGAGAGTGTGACACCTGCCAGAGATGTAAAAATGAGAATGTAGCATACCCAAGTTTGCTACAGCCATTACCTATTCCTGACAAGGTATGGCAAGATCTTTCCATGGATTTCATTGAGGGTTTACCAAAAGCTAAAGGCAAGGAGGTCATTTTGTGGTAGTGGAGAGGCTGAGTAAAGCTGCTCATTTCATGGCTTTAAAACGCCCTTATACTGCATTAGAGGTGGCCCAGGTGTTCATGGATAATGTGTTTAAACTCCATGGTATGGGCAAGTCTGTGGTATCTGACAGAGATGTGGTTTTCACCAGCAAATTTTGGAAGGAGCTGTTTAAATTGCAGAAGGTGTCCTTGCTTACTTCTACTGCGTATCATCCTCAGAC